GATGTCCTCCGCCCGCGTAGTCCAAGGTCGTTCTGCCGCGAGGGGTGCCCTTTCCGAGGTGAACGGGAATGAAGCCCATCATCACCAAACCCGTGGGCGCACGGCCGCTAAGGCCACCAAACCCCCGTCCAAGTCCTACACGACTCCGAAGGGGAAGGGTCGCAAGACCATCGTCCCGAAGAAGAGGCGAGCGCCATCCTTGGTGAGTCTCGTCATCATGAAAACGCGCTATCGCGAACGTGCTTGCCCCGAATATTTCATCCTGCGTCGTTTGGAATGTATAGGCGCACGGGCGCATGCGCACATGCACCCATTTTACATTGTTGTCGTTTTTTTTTTATTTTTGAAGTTGGAATCATTGTCACGAGTATGTGTGCAGCCTGCGATGGCCGATTCCAAGGAGAGGCATCCATGTTAACTCGCTTCTTTTAGGGCCCGAATTCGGAGTGAGTCATGAGTTGGAGTTAATCCTGTCAAGAGTATCTACTTTCCTTTGGGGCCCGGTCTAACACATGCACATTTCGTGTTACTGATGTATGCATCAAGTAACGCAACAAAAATAATTTCCTATTGGACTTAGACTCGCGGGTTTCCTCTCGGCGCACCACAGGCCAGCATTTTTCTAGGTCCGCCCTTTCGTTCTTTGCTCTCCCTCCTCACTTCCAAGTACATTCGTCCGCTGTGGCCGTTGTCGCTGTCTTGGGCCCCTCTGCACCCACCCAGTGCATCCGGGCTCTGCACCCCGTCAGCGTTGCATTCACTCATTGCTTTCGCCCGCACTTCGCACACTCTTCCATTTTGTTTTCAACCGTAGATCAGTAGCCACATCCCCTGCCCACGGCAGCAGCTCGCATCCATGCTCTCCGCAATCGACCGTCGACCGTGCTGCAGTCACCCAAGTGTACGCACACACAGAATTCGATAGTGTCTGTATATGCCCGGTCTTTCTCTCTCCTCTCTCTCTCCCTCTCTCTACCGCTTGCTATTATTGCGTAGAAGCGGGTTATGTGTTTCAATCCTGAGTCGTCATAGGTCGAAACCCGTCCGTGCAATCGCAAGATATGACAACCATGGGTTACGCTTATTCTCGACACCTGCACTCATTCGGTCGCGCATGTTCCTCACTCCTCAACGTTCTACCCCACCCCAACTTACTCAGCCTTGTAGCATGCGTACCGTACCCTGGGCCGGTTTTCAAAACTCGATTACTCCACGAAGAGTTCGCACGAAGGAAACGATACATTTTCGGAAAGCACTCGATGAGATGGCTTAAACGCCACCGTTTAAAGCGCTGCCACATTCTCGCTGCTGTGGATTAATTGAGCTTTAAACATCGATCCAAGGGGTGTGGTATCCTGTGTCACCTACGGTATGTTGGAAGTCTGTATCAATGGTGTCGGGATCTCGATTGCGTTTATCGTGTGTGTGTGTTGTTGGCGGGTATAGACACCGCTGTCGCGTTGTATTGCCTCCTGTCGTTCCGTCACTCATGACGATCCTCTTCCTGTCTTGAAGTTCGAACGATTGCGCATTTGCTCACGCGGGTATAGTCGCTGCTGGAGTCTCGGAGGTGTCCTTGGCATAGCCCGTCAGTCAAGATTGTCGTCGATGCTCCCCTTTGATTTCGTCTAGGCTTAGTTAACGTGGGAAACTCATCTCGGTTGCATAATCGGTGGAAAGCTGCGACATGACAGATCCGGTCAACATCGTTCAAAACACATCAACTTCTGAACACGAACGTCGGGAAAAGCATGCCACACACAAACAACATCTACCCCCATGCCCACGTCTCATCGATCGTGTATTTTACGGGCAAACGAAGTAGATGCATGTTGGAATCGCTTCCTTAAGCGTGGCGGCGCGAGCCGCCGAAACCCTTTGTAGGTGGTATCTTATGCAATCTCGGCCAGGTACACCGTAAAAAGCAGAGAATGGCATGTGTTGTGCCACGTAAGTACGTCCTGTAACGCCTGAACAGCGGTGACAGGGTAGTACGTGTACACCACACACAAAAATGCATGCACACCCACATACAAGGTGGATAGAATCGGCGTCGGTGCTCCGTCGGGTTGTTCCGAGCGTGAGTGATAGAGTTGGAACATTCAAGGTCTCGACATATCGGCGTCCCTTCAGCCGGATAATCCGGCAACATGCACTTGATTGTTTGCAAATCGGAAATCAACGGTGCCGTACCCCGGGGAGGGGATGAACTTTGCATCTGGAATGCGCGCCCGGAGTACATAAAAACAGGGTGGGGGTCGTATTTTTCCCGCCATTGAATACCCCGGGGGATGATACAAAAACTCGGAGGGAGAAAAGCAACCTCGACACACATCGAAATAATCTGTGTGTTCCCGCAATGAACAATAGATGCGAAGTTTGCATACGAGCATCCAATCCGATCGATACGGCCATGTGCCCTCTTGTCTTGTCGCTCCCGGCAGTCGAATGGTATTGGATATACAGTCTTCCACGGCGTCCACGTAGGAATTCCAATACATACACCATGTATTTTACAAGCACACAGGGCTTCCACTCGGGAGTTTGGTTTCTTGCTTCCCACGGGGTGAGCAATAGGACATGGTCGATGTTGGCCCCCCGTTGTATCTTCGATTCGATGGTGTCCTTGCGTGCTGTTTTCCGTACAACTCTTCAATTTCCTCGTCTTCTTCGTGCGTCCGTGAGAGTGTACGCGTGTGCCTGCAAGATGGTAATTTATTTGCGTCACCTCGTTGTCGTCACAATAACCCAACAAGTTTTTCTCTTGCCCAGATGCATGCGAGTCCATTGCTGTCTCCCTCTGCCTATAAGGCCGTTTTCTACCGGAAAATCTTTTACAAAAAAGTCGCAATATATCCTGCTTGGCCAAAAGGATTATCCACGCGCCTCGACGGGCGCGTGCGTGTGGTCTCTTCATTGGCGTCGTCCGTGTATGGGGTTCTTTTTGTTTCTGCAAGAGTTCAAATTTGGGGTGGGCCGTATCTCACATTCTGGGTGCAGATCGTCATGGTTGGCCCGAGGCGGTTCATGTGTTCCAATACATACCGCCTGCAACGTTCCCCCCCGCAGCATACCACAGTCCGACCAACGCATGTATTTTTCCACCCTCCACCGTTCCTTCCTGACCTCTGTCGCCCCGTGGATGCAGGACTCGGACGATGCCGTCCAACCCATGCAAGAGTCCGGTTCAGAGTACGACCCGGAGAGCGACCCCGGCAACGACTCCACGGACGAAGAGCTGACCGTCGACCCCAACCGGTTCGACAACAACGACAACAGCTGTGAGGGGTCTGATGCAGGCAGCGTGGACCTTCTCGCGTCGCGGCCGCTCCCGGCGACGATGCGCGGCAACGACGCCCGCTCGATCCGCCTGCCTTCCAGGGGCGGCGGGCATGCAGGGCAGTCCTCCAGCCGCCGCGGCACCGCCACCACCTCTTCGGCCCATGCGGATGGTCGCGCCGCTTCCTCTTCACGCGGCGGAGCTGCCGCGGTTGTGCGCAGCTCTGTGACGGGCGGCGGACGCGATGCCGCGAGCACCTCTTCGGCCCACGCGGGTGGTCGTGCCGGTGCCTCTTCACGCGCAGGAGCTGCCTCGGTCGTGCGCAGCTCTGTGACGGGCGGCGGACGCGATCCCGCCAGCACCTCTTCGGCCCACGCGGGTGGTCGTGCCGGTGCCTCTTCACGCGCCGGAGCTGCCTCGGTCGTGCACCGCGCTGCCTCCACCGGCGCCTCCGGTACTTCTTCTGCCCCACGTGGTGCATCTGAATCTGCTGCGCTACGCACTTCGTCGGGCGGAGGCGGCTCAATCTCCGCCTTGACCGCGAGGGGAACGGGTGCTCAGTCCGCGGCCCGCGGCCAGCATCTCGCCCTGAGTTCTACCCGTGGCGGAGCTGCGTCTGCGCAATTTTCTTCATCGGCCGACGGAGGCGCTGGCTCCAGGCCGACCATGAGGGGCGGAGGAGCGACGTCTTCCGCGTCGAGGCGCGACGACACCGAGCCCACATCGTCCCGCGGCGGGGCTTCCGCCGCTTCCTCGCGTCGCCCGGGCGGGGAAGGGTCTGCTGCATCAGGGAGGGGCGCCGGGACTTCCTCTGCCGCCGCTCGTCGCGGTTCGGGTGGTGGTGCCTTCGACCGTATCAGCACCACGAGCTTCACGCGGTTGGGCGATTCTCCGCTTCCAGCGGCCGCGGCGTTGGAGTCCGACGAGGAGGACCCCTCCGATCCCCTCTACCGTAAGCAGATAAATTCCGGAATGACCGGGGATGAGCTGTACGACTGCCTCCTCATGGCGCATGTGAACGTCATGGCTAGGTCGGGTCTGCTCGCACGCCTTCTCACAGCGGTCAACCCGCAGTTGGTAAGCGATCGTTGTTTTGTAAGATACCGTAGGAACAAGAAAAATACCGCCGGGGTACCAAAAATACATAATGTACGCCCGGATGACCGTAGTTGTTTCTTGTGTGAGCCCCGGCAGGGTGTTAGGTATTCACGGCAATTTTTTTCTTACCGATAAGGGCATTCAGGTGCTATGGCAGGTGCATAACTGTACAGAACAGACAACACCGCGGGGACTATTCGCCCTGTGGCGTTCTTTTTTTTTTATCGTCCTTCTACCGTTGTCTCAGCGTCTTTTTTTTAACAGGGTATTTACGTATGTTTCGATATTGCTTGTACTACTGCTTCACCCCTCTAGGTAGCCAGAACCGGTTTACCAATAGGATCTTGCTGAGTGTGTGTTTCACATCATAGATCCGCACCGTTCAACCATAGGGACGGAACTAACACAACACAGAAGCACCTGTAACCCACAGCGTTCACTTGCAGCACTGAACTTGACGACCGCATCGCGCGTGTGTCTCTTGCCACCTCTCTCTCCCACCCTCCGTGTTCGCGTACTTGCACCCCCCGAAACCCAGGTGCCCATGATGCAAGGGCAGCCTCCCGTTCCGTCCGACAAGGACACAAAGAACAAGACCCTACGGGGAACTGTGTCGAACATAATGGCGCCCTACGCATATGCCTTCGTCGGGGACGAAAAGAAGGCGTTCTCGGGCGGACGAGCTCCCACCCCCGACAACAACGCGTTCCTGGCAGCCGTCCGATTCTTGTGGCCGGGTGCCAGGGACGCGAACTCACATTTCCCAGGTTCGGGTGGATTGATGACATGTTGTTTCTTCTAGAGGTGAACAAAGTCACGCGTAGAGAGGTACTTCGCGCAGGCACACACCTGCCCTCTATTTACCGGGTGGTTTATGCCGTATCTGGTTGACGTTCTTCGTCGCCAACCAGTCTTGTGCATGTAGATATCTACAGGCACACGCGCTCGCTCATGACATCGAGACCAATGGCAAGCACGGGCGTGTACCCACGCGCCTAGATACATCCATCCATATTCAGGGTTCTGGATGATTCGTCAGCCATATGCGTAGAAAAGACAACCACAAGACGTGCTCCATAAACAATTTTCGGACTTGCACTTGGTGCAAGTGGTACTGTCAGACGTAGTGAAACGCAGTCAAATTCCGTTGTTGTCCCGCCAGTTAGTTGTGTGCATTCGAAAGAACGCCATCAGTCGTGTTTTTGCGAAATCATGTTACGCCTACTATATACACTCGTGTTTGTCGTGCTGCATTTATAGAAGTCCCTCGAAACCTCTTGGTGAATGGTCGCATGTCCTGCAACACGGTGACGTGCAGATATCTTCCGGATGAGGACTTGCACCCATTTTTTCTCGAATACATGACTCATTGCCTTTCTTGTCTCCGTTTACACGCGTTGATGTCGCCCCAGCTGATTTCATCACCGCCACCACCACCGCGCGGGTTAGCATCCACCAAGACGCCCGGATGGCTTGCGCGCACATCATCGAGGGGATGCTCGACCTGGAGCAAGAGGAGCACCACCCGGAGACAATCACCGACCTCTGGCGCGGGGTCCGGAACCGCATCACTACAATCGAGGCGGAGTCGACGGTAACCGTTGTCGTCCAATATACCCTGGTCGCCGTTTGCGGAAACGTAGCTCACATTGTTCAAATCCGGCGTTCACGTGCTATTTATGTAGCACGCAGCGTGTGTGCGATGCACGCTTTCGCGAGTCTCTCAGGGTACTGCCCCCGAGCCTCTTAGTTGCAGCGGAGCGGTTGTGGGGGCGGCGGGGATGATCAATGCACGGACAGTGTACTGTTCTAGGACATTTCACAATCCCGGGCGTTGCTTGTAAACGTACCCGACAGAGGACCTGTGCACCCCATTGCATGTTTTCTGTGACGCGGATATTTTGTGCTGGCTACCCTCCGTCGGTGGCGGCGACCAACGTTTATCGACGATCCTACAAGGCCGTTCCCACGGCGAAAAATAACACATATAGCTGTGTTATGTCCCCAGTCGACTGCGCTCTGTTATTCCTACAACATTTTGGTGCGTTCCCTCGCTTCTTGAAGCCGTATATATGCAAAATTGTGTGAGTGACTACACGTTTACGTTTGTATTGCAGGCCATGGAGGGCCTATGGCACCGGGTCTTCACCCGCTTTATCAAAGGGCACCAAGGCAACACGCGCAAGGAGTGGAGCCTCGCACGCCTGGTGCGAGAACCGCGAGCGCTCGCGGACTTCGTCGCGGAGGTGATTACCATGTACAATCGCGTCGAACAGGATGCGTCCCATCGACGCGTTTAGACAACAGTTCGATTGCTGTATGACACCGCAATATTAGTGTCCGCGTACCACGTGCGAAGTACTTATACGTAGCTTGGCTCACTTGCTGACCCACTTGTGTGCTCACCTTTTCTGCATGTAGTTTGCGACTCCTATGCTCCTTCACGCGGTCCGCGACATGGAGTTTCTGCGTGTGTCCGAGATCGGCACGCACGAGTCGGCGACGTCCAGGGCCCTAAGGCAGATGCGGTCTTGGTCGAGGTTAATAAACGGTGGATTCCCCGACCGTCAAGCTAGGGCTTTCCAGGAGAGGTGAACATTTTTGCTGATGTTGTGTTGCGATGAAAGAATAAATACTCTGGCTGGTTTGTCTTGTTTTAGTCCTCCCACTATAAAGAATTAGCTGCCTGCTCCCGTGCGTACATGTAGCAAACGCACCGATACTTTAGGCCAACCTTATTTCTAGCTTGACCAAGCCCAGGGCATTGTCCATATGTTCGTGATCACACTCCTTTGTGGCTTTCAGACGTTGCTCGACAGCATCTCGTCTGTCGCCCTATCCGACGACCCGTGTACTGTGTTTTACCTTGCCAGCATGTGGCGCCAGCTGTTCCATTATCTCACGGGACCCCGCCGCCACGGGCACGCCCTCCGGACGCTCTCCCACTGGGATTACGACAACCCCAAGATCGTCAAGTTCCTGTGCCCGTACGCCGTCACCTCAGGTGCAACAAAACGTTAGCTGCTCACAGCTCTCAACAACATTCCCATCGACTTCAATGTTTGATAGCGCGCGTGGTGGGCGTCTGTCCCTTCCACTTGCTAAGTTAGGCCAATATCGATACGGAAAATAGGTGGAGCACAAAACACGCAGAGTTAATGCACGATTTCCTCCACTCGCCATACCTCGCTTAAGATATGTACAGGTTCGTCAACACTGCGTGCGATGCCTCACATACCACAAGTATTCCTGCCCCGTCAAAATGGTCCCGTCCGACTTTCCTCTCGGTCTTGAAAATTTCTCTGCAGAGGGCGCTGCCGGAGAATCGTCCGACACGGAGGGTTGCCTCGTGGTCGCAGAGACCCTCCCCCGGGACGACAGCATCGAGCTGGATGGCGAGGAGCTCGAGGACTTCCTTGCCGACATGAACTGAGCTCAGGTTCTCCCACGCCGTCCTCGCCTTCGGCTTTCGGTGGGGATGGACCTGCCTCCCTGGGTCGCCATTTAGGACGACGAACCTCGCACTTGTTTTTTTTTTCTCAAGATTTCTGTCTGCCCTCTACACACGGTCCTGCATATGGAGATTCGCGACACGTCTGATTGGTTAGAATAAGTTGTGTTGGTGTGCTCTTGGCATGATTCGTCCCAAGATGTCCTACACCTCGCGTCTTGCCGACTTAGGTTCTTAGCGGGGCACGAGCTGTTCGCAAAGTTTAGATTGGACTTGTTCTGTCGCCCTTTCACATACACAGAGGGGGGCTCCGGAGATCCACTAGTCTGTAGGCTTAGTTAAGCATTCTATATTGGCTTGTTGTTGCATCGGCTTTTTCTGCTGAAATGCGTGAGGATCCGTCTTTTGTTGTGTGGGTAGTAATCGGCTTGTCGCGTAAACTCTTTGGGTATCCTGCACTCATGGTGTGCACCACGAGGTTGTTGGCTTATCCGTGTGAGAACGGGGGGAGGGTTGCGGTGTGGATGGGGAGCTCATAATCGCCGGTTGCTTTGTAGCATGTGTAGCTCATGTGGGAAAGTTTTTTTCCCTCTGTTCTCGTCACAACCTGTGGCAGTGTTTTGGCTCACACGCTTGGGGGGCGGACGGCTCCTCCTCTTGATTGCGTGTTTTGCTCTGACCTTGTCAGATCATGTGTTCACGAGGTTGCATCGTATCTTTTGGGGCACAAAATGATCCTCGCATAGGGTTCGTTGTTGTTGGGATATAGGTTTTCATGGCTGGGTCTCTCGCTAAGCTGTTAGCGGGCTGAGAGCGACTCTCTATTTTGGTCTGTCGCGCGTGCGTTTTTTTTTTCGTTTTTTTTCTCAAGGAAGTCTTGTGCAGGTCAGAGAAATGCGTGCGTTGGCACGGGTGTAGTTGGTGTGGGGAGAACTCACAGCCTGTGTGGCAGGTTGTAGTTGAGCACTACAGCTGACCTCTTGGAATTGGGACCCAGTCCGCGTAGAGCGTGTTTTTTTTGGGGCGGGTACCAAGTGATTCTCTGCTTCGCCTTCAAAAAACGACAGCAGCCTAGCTGAATGCGTCGCGCGAAATGATCTTGTCCACAGTGTTGTTAATGGCGATGTAATTTCTTGTTCTCTTTTGTCGCACAGAAGCCCCCGCCGGGTGGGTTTCTTCATGTATTGTGAGAGCCGGAGTCCGGGCTACAGCTTTGTGGGGCTGCTTGCCCGAACTTTAGGATTGTTGACGATGCTTGAAGTCACGAGGAGAAACATGATGAATGAACAAACCCCGAATACGAAACAAATTGGGAAACTGAATGCTCATAGCTAAATGCTCAGTGAAGCCTCGGCTTAACCCTGCGCAGAAGTTATCATTGCCAGGCCCCCCCCTGGCACGGTGCCCCCTTGAGGAACCTCTCGGGTCTGTCCCGAGGGTTGTGACCATGCGACGAGGGTAATAGGGTATACCCTTACTGTTTTTGCCAGGGCGGGACCATAAATTTCGTCCGCCATTCTATGTCACCACCCTGCCAAGGTCGGAGTAGCCCACCCTGCACATGGAGCAAGATTGTCACATGGTAACCATGTGTCTCGTCCGCCATTTTTTGTCACCACCCTGCCAAGGTCGGAGTAGCCCACCCTGCACATGGAGCAAGATTGTCACATGGTAACCATGTGTCTCGTCCGCCATTTTTTGTCACCACCCTGCCAAGGTCGAAGTAGCCCACCCTGCCCATGGAGCAAAGTGGCTACCAGTGTAAGGTCGAGTCAAACACGTGACGGATCGCAGAACTCTTCCTAAAAACCCGGGGTTTCCTCCTTTTCCTTTTCCTTTTTTTTTTCATGCACCAACAGTAAAAAAATCGCCGTACAGAAGTACAAATACCAGCTATGGGTCTTCACTGATCACTTTGCCCTCTCTGGACTGATCATTTACAATATACCGAAAATAGACTAGTTGAGGCAGCTAGACGACTGATCATTTCAAAGTCTACACAGCTAACCTGACCTACTGACCGCAGCGCGACCACCCATCAACCCTTCTACTGTTGATTGGCCCCAAGCCGAGTGCTGCTGGATGAGCAAGGCTGTCCCGTTTGACAATGTGAAGAGATGGTAAAGTCGTTTTATTGGTCGTCCTCGTAGACACAAGCAACGGAAGAGAGTGGGCACCCAGGTGCATCACAAACACCGAGGCACGCGAGCAACAGTCGCAAGACGCATTCGGAACTCGGAATACATGACAGCAAGGAATGCGCGACAACTTGCCAAAGATCCTACTACCGGAGATACCCCGAAGATCCAAATGACCGATGGACGGTCACGCACTTGCGCACCTGCATAGCTCAAAACCACACATGAGTACTACCGCAGTAGCCTTCGTAAGGATGGCATAATCCACCTCACGAACACCCTCCCTGATTCTGTACATCATAACGAATGCTCTCAAAACCAAAGCGCTCAGGGTACTCATAGAAAACTCCAAAAAGAAACAAAAATAAAACAAACGAAGGGAAACCCGGCCACCGGATCAAAACCCTCCGCCCCCACGGGTCATCCTGCTGATTGAACTGTCAACACAATCAACACAGCAGTCACAAAGTTGCAAACCTACACGTCTACAACTGTCAGGCATTTGTACTACCCCTTTTCAAGTAGTCCCCTCCCAGCCAACAGGAACCCTACTGTATCGAGTTGCTGTCAGCACCGCGGCGCGCCTAAGGCCACAAGCACCAATGCCAAATTGCAGCGGAAAAACGTAAAACCTAACGCTACATCGCTAAATGACATTTTTATAGAGGGCGATCAACCAAGAGGAAGATCAAGCAGTATCTCAACCACAACGGTACCCCGCTTCGAGAGACACTGGACCTAGACATTTTTTGCTACTCCTTCACAAGTAACTCCCTCCCAGCAACAGGATCCCTACTGCTGTATCCAGCTGCTGTTAGCAACGGGGCGCGTCTGCAACCAACCCCGATCACCATTGTCGATCACATGACAGTGAGGGGTGCCCCCCTCGGTCTGTACATCATTGAAAGATCATATAAAAGGGCAATCAACCACATGTTAGGGGAGGGTGCCCCCTCTCAGCCTACACACCAGAGGACGATCGAAGCAGCATATCAATCACAAACAGTTCATCAACCAGCCTGCCGGTACCTGCTAATATGAGAGACGCTGGTAGCCATCTATCACGGAAAAAGGCGTCATTCATCAGCCCTCCCTGATTTCAGGCAAAATAAGGGCCGTTTTAATCGTTTCCAAATCTCTGTTCCAAATTTCCAAATTACGGTTCCAAATATTTGGAAGCCAGCAAGATTCATTTCAAACGCGCTGCACGGCAACTTTCCAAATAAATCTCGCCGCGTGTGATGGCGAGTGGGCATGCGCCTATAATCCCATCACGCACTCCACAGACAACGTTCCCACACGCGCGACACCACGGGAGGGCCCAACATAGATAGGGTTAGTGGTCATCAAGGGCAAATCCCGGCTGGATGCAGCGAACAGGGCGATTAACGGCGCTGCTGTAGGTCCAGCCGCTTTCGGTTTTCCGTGCTCGGCAGGCCGCCAGACAACACCTCAGGCCAAGGCGAGCAAGGGCGGAGCAGCAAGATGCTGAGAGCATGTCCTCCTTGCTGGATATCGTCAGCCAGGTTGTTGAAAGGAGAAGCCATCATGTCTCGGGCCTCGAGGTTGCAGCAGCAGGTGTGTGAGAAGCTACTTCTGAAGTAGTTTTCTGTCTCTCTCGTCATCTGATTATGTATATCAGCCTGGTGTGTCCGCCTGGTGTGCCGCCCGGTGTGTGTGTGTGTGTCGCTCTCGTCCCGGTTCTCTTGTC